AAAAAAAAAACAGAACTTCAGTGCAACCACAACTGGCTCCTTCTTCACGACAGTGCGTTCACCCACACATCCCTGAAGACCACAGAGTCTGTGACTAAGACTAACATAGTTGTCATTCCCCATCCTCGCTACTCGCCAGATTTAGCCCCCTATGATTTCACTTTGTTTCCCAAATTTAAAATGGAACTGTGGGGATGACGTTTGAAACAGTGTCTGATGTCCAAAGGGAATTGCAAACAGTACTCGACGGTGCTTTTGAAGTGTGCCAAAAATGATGGAATCACTGTATGAGTTCCCAAGGAGACTATTTTGAGGGAAATAGCAGCCAAACTTCAGTAAGTTAAGCTAGCATTTCTTTTTTGACCTAGTCCAGGAACTTTTTGCAAAGAGCAGTAATTTTTAAGTGTGATTTTATCCTTGCTGGGTTGTTATAGTCTGTAGTGAAGTTAATACAAAATTTATAACATTCTGAACATTTCGATTTGGCACATCAGAACAGTGATCTGTTAAGGAAGGCAGTGGTAATAAATGTGGTTGCTGACATTACAGATAATTGCTATGAAGCACCAGACTGAGATATATGAGGGTGAGCCCCTCAACTTTGAAATGGTATACCGGCGGTACCTCAAGTTTGCAAGTCAGAATTTGACAGTGCAGAATGTAGAGAGGCCCATCATTCTTAAAGCTTTCGAGCATTTGAAGGTAAGAAGTTGTCATGGTAATATTTTTACTGAATCTGGCAAGTATCAGTCTGGTCCTGATACTGATAATACTTAGGGCCACCAACTCATCAGGATCACAACCAGTGGACTGTTAACAGATTCCCATTGACTTACCAGTTGTTTATTATTATTAGTATTATCATATCCTTGCCATCCACATGACCTCCATTTTTCTCTTATTTGCACATGTCCGTTCTTTCATGATTCCTCTCAGCGTAGAGGACACTTACTTCCCAGATACTGTGATGCTATGAATATTCTTGTGTTCACCACCTCAGTATTTCTTCAGTGTTCATTTAAATCTTAGGTTGTGGAAGTTGTGAAAAACATTTCAGAATGTAATTTGCAATGTGTAGCAGGATAAATCCTTCTAATCATCATTGATGACATTTCTGTGGGAGTGGACATTCTTATACCAAAGCCTATCCCAGGTTTCTCACCCTTGCCATAATGGCTCATTATTTAATCTCTGTGCTCTCTTTGCTACAGGTTCCTTCTCTTTGGCACAAAAACTAACCCTAGGCTGTCATTCAGTTATACCTTGAAAGGAATTAAATTAACAGTCACATATAACACATGTCCATATCACTGAATCTTTAATTTCAGTCATTTTCTTGTAGTGTTTATACTTCAGATCTTGTCTAATATCGTGGTTTAATATTTTATTCTTCATTATTTATATTTTAAGGGGCATGCAGTAGTGTAGTTGGTTGAGGCACTATTTTACAAGCTGGAATGTCACGGGTTCGATTTCTGATGAGATCATTGGATTTTTCAATTGACCTAATACTTCCAGTCGCACTATGGCCCTGGGGTCGACTCAGTCTGTAACAGAAATGAGTACCAGGAATCTTCCTGGAGGGTTAAGAGGGGCCAGTGCATAAGGCTGACAACCTTACCGCCATCTGTGAGCCAATTGTCTAGAGAAAATGTGGGAACCTTGATGTCTCAACCCTATGGGGGTTCACACTTTGTTACATGGATAGCTTTACCTTTTTTTACCTCATTCTTTTTATCTTAACACCCCATAGAAAGTTCATCTCCACTGCTTGTGATCTGCTTACATCTCATTTAGTCTATATGCACATTTCTACTGCACATTTCAAAACTGATTTAGTCTGGTAGCTAGGTACCAACGTTCTTGAGGAATATACAGTTTCTGTCTTCAGGCAACCCTGAAGATGGGGTTGGTATGTTCCTTTGAAACAGTGGTACTCATTTATCTGTCTGTGCGGCATCATAACCCAGAAGTTCACAATATTAATCTTACAAAAATGTGTTTCATGTAACATAACATAACCATATTTGGTATTTTCTGCTTCCAAATGGCATATCTAACAGTCTAATAAATTTTCTGGTCCTACACACTCACTGAGTAATTTTCTGATTATTCTATTTGAAGAAATTTTAAATGTGTCCTTTTTAGAGTCTGGAGCTTGTGGTGCCAATTGGTGGCCCAAGCAGTCATATCCTGAAGGAGTTCCAGCTGCATATGTTTCATCTGACATCACAGCAAGTGACTGATGCCGTGAAGCGTTACCAAGGCTTGCCAACTGAAGTATCCCAGTGGGCAGCGAGCAGTTATCAGTAATGCCTGTGAAGCTTAGAGAAAATAATATTTACTATGTGTACTGTACCAAAACCACTTTTTTGCATTTAAGGGCTACTCTGTTGTTACACTTTTTTGGCAATAACACATCATTCATATGCTAGACTACATTTTACACCAATTGAAAGGTACATAAGTTTCATTGTTCTGCTAACAGTTTTGTGTAAAGCACCCAAAACCTGTAGAAATATTATAGACTAGCTGTTTCTAAATAGTTCAGTGGATTTTTTCAATTGACCTAATACTTCCACCTGCACTATGACCCTGGTGTTTACTCAGCCTCTGACAGAAATGAGTACCAGGAATGTTCCTGAGGGTAAAGGGCAGTCGGCTCATAAGGCTGACAGACTCACTGCCATCTGTGAGCTGATTGCCTTGATGTCTCACAACCCAATCGCCCTCCACAACCTTAGTTATTAACATACACTATTACATTTCATATGCATATGCAAAATAAACAGTAAAATGCAAGAAAATTGTAAAAGTGAACTTCTAGCAAATACCATATTTTCTTGAATATCCCATGCCATTGAAGAGACTACACACCCCACTCTTAAAGAAACAAATTAAATCTTTTGTGAATTTATTGAAGTACTAAAATATATATGTGGGGCATAATTGTATGTAATACATAATGTCTTGACAATTGAGAAATGTTCCAGTACATCTTTGTATGCACACCCAAACTAGTACCTCTCCCTTGTGAGTGTGCAAAACTGTTCTTCCGCTTCAGGATATTTCACTTACTGACCATGGATAGCTAAAGCGGTTAGTCACTGGCTTCGCACCGCGATGGCCTGGGTTCGAACCAGGGTCTGGTCAAGTGGGATTTGTGGTGGACAGTGTGGTGCTGGGGCAGGTTTTCTCCGAGTACTTCGGTTTCCCCTGCCAATCTTCATTCCACCAAATTCTCCATCATAATCACCTGGGGCAGGCTACAATAGGCCAATCAGTGGTCACCATGTCAGGTTGACCGAGCTGGACTCCACCTCCCACTAAGCGAAAATTTTTATGCTGGCCATGGAAATCCCTCTGCCACTGCTTTGCAGCATCAGCTCTTTGTTCTTCTCTATTTTTTAGTGTAATTTTCACAAATGCTGTGTTTTCTGTCATCAGCACAATATCCAGTATCTTCTGTTTCTTGAATTAAGTACAGTTTTTGTTGGAAAAGCTGTACTGCCAAGCCTTAATAGTCACATGTATCAATGCATGTGCATAGTAGGTCACAGCAGCATTCACTGAACATGAATGGCACATTCTTGGTGCTTGGGTTCATGAAAGGATGCAGAAGTTGTGAAGTGGATGCCTGGAATGCACAGTGTTGCTAGTCTTGTCATGAATAAGCCGTGGACATGTTTTCTTAACCAGTCAAGTGGCTATGACGTCTATAGACGCCACACATGCTCCCTACTACTCTGTTATAGATATAATGCTAGCTGGCAGTGCAAACTTATACATTGCGTTTGCAAGATGTTCTAGTTACTTCGGAGTGTGACAGGAAATTGTTGATTGCTTGATACGTATTCTGGGTTTTAGCTTTTTCAACTAAACATTATGTCAGGTCCTAGCAAGAAGATGCATGTAAGTGATGAGAAGGCGTTTCATAAACTGTTACAAAAGAATGAATTCAGTGATATTTCAGAGAGTGAATATAGTAGTGATAATTTTGTCAGGTGGTGAACAAAGTGTCAGCTCTGATGAAGGAGAAAGTATCAGTGACAACAGCAGCATGTAACATGATATATGGGCAAATTTAGGTGCTCAGTGACCATATTGTCTCTTTACTGGCAAGCCTGGCACAAATGTTGATTTAGAAGATCCCAGGAACCCCCTGGTATATTTTGAGTTCTTGTGTACGCCAGACAGTGCGGAAGTAATAGCCAGAGAAACAAATCAGTATGCCCAAAATTTTTTAGAAAACGCCTAATCTAAACCTAAAATTGAGGACCCATTGCTGGGCTGGTATTCAATACCAGTTTTCATAATTATGTAGTTTTCAAAACTATGTAATTATGAAGTATTCGCAGTATCTGCCACTTGATTTGCAGCAATGTTTCCAGTGATTAGTGATGATTTCATGGTCTGTGAAAGAACGATTTTGCAGTGGATGTTTGGAAGAACAGTTCATCCAATCTCGCCTTGAGCTTGCCCACGTTGCAATAAGGGACTCTGTCAATGAGGCGTATACAGTGTTGCAATGAGCAAAGCTGGGGGTATGTGTTTCCGCTAGAGAGATTTGTTAGTAAACTACTCTGATTGTGTTTCATTTCCAAACACCAAATGCAAGTCAAGACAGCATATATTGAATGTGCATGACTCAGACATGCGTACAAGATTACATGGTCTGAACACAAATGAAAGTCAGTGGCGACAGTGGCAGATTTTTTGAGAATGAAGCCAAAAGTACGGAATTTTTCTAAAAAATATATATACTTCAGTGTAATGGCTATAGGAATGAAAATGCAGGTACGTGAAGTCTGATAATTGGTCTTTCAGGAGCTTTTTGTTCCATTATTTTATAATGACACATGATTGAGATATTACATTTTAAATTTGGAGCAAAAATTATAAAATTAAATGCCACAGTGACAAATTGAAATGTCTGGGGGAATTTAATGTGCCACTCTGAGGGAGATAAGAACATGGAAAAGAATCACTTGACAGGTTAATAGAAAAATGCATTGGTTGTTCGAGAAAATGAGCAAAATAGTCACACATTTAGAACAGTAGTTTCCTATCCAAAGCTGCCTGAAACTAGGAGATGCTTTATCACCACTGCTTTTCAGCTTTGCTTTAGAATATGCCAGAACAGAATATAGAATAGGAAGGCCCAGGGAAATCAGGTGGGACTGAAATTAAATGGGACACATCAGCTGCTGGTCTATGCTGATGATGTAAATCTACTGGAGGATAACACATACCATAAAGAAAAACGCAGAAATTTAATCGAAGGGAGTAAGGAGGTTGGTCTAGAAGTAAATGCAAGAAACTAAGTATAATTTGCTGCCTTGTCGCCAGAATGCAGGGCAAAAGTATGGCAGTAAGATAGCAAAGAGATCCTTTGAATATATGCCACAGTTCAAGAATGACAGTAACAAATCAAAATTTGATTGTGGAGGAAATTAAGACAGGATTGAATTTGGGTAATGCCTGCTGCCATTCAGTCCAGAACCTTTTGTCTTCTTGTCTGCTGTCTGAAAACATAAAAGTTGGAATATACAAAACTGTAATTTTTCCTGTGGTTCTGTATGGGTGTGAAACTTGGTCTCTGATATTAAGGTAGGAACTTAGACTGAGGGTATTTGAGAAAAGGGTGTTGAGGAGAATATTTGGACCAAAGAGAGATGAAGTCATAGGAGGTTGGAGAAAACTGCATAATGAAGAGCTTCATAACTTGTACTCTTCTCCAAGTATAATTAGAATGATCGAGTCAAGGAGGATAAGATGGGCAGGGCATGTAGCACAAATGGGGGCAAAGAAGAATGCATATAGCATATTGGTGGGAAAGCGAGTAGGGAGACCAAGGCATAGGTGAGTGGATAATTTTAATCTTAGAGTGATAGAATGGGATGGTATGGACTGGATAGATCTGGCTCAGGATAGGGACCAGTGGAGGGCTCTTGTGAATGTGGTAATGAACCTTTAGGTTCCATAAAATATTTGTAAGTTCTTGAATAGCTGTACAACTGGTGGCTTCTCAAGAAGGGCTTAGCTCCCTAAAGTTAGTTAGTTGAGTGAATGAATGAATGTAAAAGGGGTGGGCCTTCTTGGCACCGCCACAGTGATCTGTTGTGCCTAGTTAGTTAGTTAGTTAGTTAGTTAGTTAGTTAGTTAGTTAGGAGCCATAAATAACACAGTATATGCAAGTTATAAAATAATTACTATATTTCTTTTTGTACCACATTCACCATTTTCCTGAATTAGCATTAAAAAAAGCACAGGGTTCATAGTCTGCAAGGGATTATTCATTTCTGAACATATTGTAACAGATTTTATCTAAGCATTGCCAGACAGCTGCTCAGTAAACAATTCCCAACATGCAACAATATAAGGGAGACTGCTTTCTACGACTGTGACAAGACAGGACTGTGACAGGAGAACAGCATGGTTATGCAATCCATTTCTAGGCAACGGTTCGGTAAACATATTTCCACATATCGTTCAATGCTATGCAACGTGGTGACATCATTAGCAATCCAACAGTGTTTTCCAGGGGGTCTATGCAGGTTGCCTATAAGAAAAGTGAATTCAGAAGATAGATAGTCCAGGGCAGTTGTGAGTCAGTTACTGGTAGGATATAGCCATGGGAATATTGAAATAAAGAAGAATTAGAAGTTGGCCAGTGAGGACTTAATGTGTGATCTGAAGACTTTGTGTGTGCTGTAGTGCAGTGATATTGGGAGTGTGACAGTTATAGTTCCTGTGTTAAAATCCATTGCCAGGAAATGGGTAGGGAAAACTTTGCAGAGGAATAACCGTTGTTTAGAGCTGTTACCTAGCAATGACTAGTTAAAACAGTTATAGAAGACTTTATTTATGTGTTATAATTACAGTAATCTTGAAAGTGTTATAATTAATTGTAGTTACGAATGGTGATTACCCAGTAAATCAATTCGCCAATCCAACCCACTTTTAAAGTAACTGATAAAAGTAAAGCTATCCCTGTAACAGGCCATGAAGGCCCTTAGGGTTGTGAGACATTGAGGGTCCCACATTATCTAGACAGTCGGCTCAAAGATGGCGGTAAGGTTGTCAGCCTTACGCGCCAGC